AAGAAAGAGAGAACTGGACTGTTACACATTTGCCATTTACAGCTGCTGAAGCCAGCAACACTTAAAATGTTTTCTACCCCAACACCTGTGAATTTTTGTCTCTGGAATGTAAAAAATAGCACAGAACTAAACTAGCGATGTGATCATTTTATCCTTTTTTATCACTTGGTGTCAAAGAGGAAATGCTAACATACGCTTTTAAACTAGGCTAACAAAAAGTTACTCTATGTCTCAAATTAACCTGCTGCGGTATAAATCTCTTTCTACTCTGCATGTAAAAGCCCTAATCATCTGACCAACAAATCCAACAAATACTTCTGTTTGCAGAGCTTGTGGTCGAAATTAGTCTGTTTTATTTTCTTTTTTTTTGCTACAATTTAGTTATTGTTTCTATCATCAGAGTATAATATGAAGGAGGAGTAGAGCTCTAAGACACAGATAGTATTGAGAGTTGTAATGGTGTATATACTGTAATAAGTATTTCACATTATGCAATATAAAAAAAGGAGCAACTGAAAATCTGTACTGGAAGAAGTATTTAGAAAGCAATACCCCAATTTAAAAATACTAATTTGCAAGCAGAGGTGCTGCATTCAAAATTATACTGAAGGTAGGTACAAAGTATGGCAACCAAAAGTACATTTAAATACATTTACTCATTTTGCAGACACTTTTATCCAAAGTGACTTACATTTGAGGAACCACATACAAGCATCAGTAAAGTGAGAGATCTATGAGCAACAATAGATATTAGTAAGATAACGCATACGGCAACAATGGGATAAATAACTAGAGGAAGAAAACAGTAATTATAACTCTCGCTCTCTGTACTGACAAGTCTGCTCTGCAGGTTTAAATAAGGTTTCTTTGCCAGTGGCATTTGCTAGACAGTGAGTGACTTTGAATTTGTTATGTAGCAAATCTAGCTTGCCCAGAGTACATTTGAATCTCAGATTTTTAGGGAAGTAGAGGTAGACGAATGTGAAAACACCTCTCTGGTGACGAACTTTGCATACATACAAGTCAGTAAAGTTGAGGTGTGACAGTTTAGGACGCATAAACATAAGAAAGATATTTTTGAGTGGAGGGGATCTTTAAAAATAATTTTAAATGGATTTTTGAGACTCTGAGTGAGGCAGGCTACCCCTACTTCCAGTCTTTATGCTAAGCTAGACTAATCACTACCTTGCTCCAGCTTGCTACATAATGTACAGAAACAAGAGTTGTATCTTCTATCATCTAATTCTTAAAAAGAATGCAAATGAGTAAATTTTCTAAAATGTCAAGCTATTCTATTGACTAAGTGTTATAGTATCATGGAAAGTTGGACACAAACTTTCCGGCATCTCTGGTAACAAATTTTTATGCTTTCCACCTGACCTTCTACCTGATGTCACACTTCCTGGATTAGAAAATAAACATTGCCAGTGATCATAATCCAGGCAGCAATGAGATGAGGTGAAAATATGATGGTGTTTTAATAGTTACTTTAATACAATTCAAAACATTGAGCTTGGAGGAAACGCTTAAAGGAGCTGGAATTAAATTAAGAGTTATATTAGTCAGGCTTCCAATGAACATTTTTATGTATTGTTTTGTTTATCTAAGTATAATGCAATATATTTCTGAAGTAAAAGGATTTAGTTTGCATTAGGGTTGACCCCAAATCCAAGATTCGATGCTTAGATCGGCGGAGCCTGATTCGACAGGCGATATGGGGGTGCTTAACATCTGATTTTACATAGAACTAACAGTTTTCTCCCAATAAGTTAATATACAGCCTATTACAATATATATTTCAATGTTTAATGCTGTAAATAAACATGTAAAAAGAATAAAACTTTCAATAAATGTTTTTAAAGTGCGTGAATAAATCCAAAATTGTAATCTTAACCCTGGGTCGTCAGCGCGCATGTGTAGGTGTAGTGTGTATGTGTGTAGTGGCAGAAGAGGAACACTTGCTGAAGAGATGGAGCCCCAGCTTCACCGGTGTTGGTTCTGAGTTGTCCGCATCTCGTGTGACTTTTGGATAATTTACCACCGTTGATGTATCACACAAAGAATATTTTATCGTTTTTGAATAGCCGGTTACTTGAAATAGTCTATTTCAAGTCTATGAAGTCTATTTCAAGTCTATGAATAGCCGGTTACTTGAAATAGTCTATTTCAAGTAACCGTGAAGTGCATCCAGTTGTCGGCAGGCGAGGGACAGAAAAGGGTCAACAATAAACCCCATGATTAGACTATCTGTGGATTATCTATAGGCAGGACTTGACTGATTCTGATTCGACTTTGTAAATCCTTGGTCGGGGAGGATTGCCGTGTTAGTTTGTTTTTGTGGCTTGGAGGTGGGCTGTTTTCTGCTGACCCACAGGAAACCCACAAACACTGACATCATGACCTACATGCACAGATACGTATACATACAACCAAATAACCACATGATCTTTTTAAACTTGGGTGTTGTTTCAAAGAAGGTGTAAAGCAACTACAAGAAGAAAGATCAAATAGACCACAATCCATAACATCAAAAAGAAAGACTATAATATGAAAGTTATGTTTCGTGCAATATGGTGTGTAGCTCTGTGATGGTCTTTGGGAGTGTTTTGAACAGTTTTGTCAGATATGTACCTTCTGCTTTTTAGCCATGCTGGCAGTTTGGCCCTATGATGGAGTTTGCAATATGGGCAATAAATAAATAGTGTCAGTCAAGGCATATTTATTCGAACTTTGGACCCATTAGAGAATATTTAACCACTTTGTCAGCTTGATGTAGTCCGCTTTATATATATATATATATATATATATATATATATATATATATATATATACTATATACTATACTATATAATATATACTGTCGGTTAAATGTTTAGTGTTTACTTCCTTATTCATTCCATATTTTATAATGTTCCTACTTTTGGTCTAGTCGCCTTGCTAAAGTCAGTTTTGGTGTTAAAGCTGGTGTAGGCAAAGTTGGAGAACTAGCAAGAGACCGAATAAATGCTGTCAGGATGTGAACAGAATTTCAACAAGTATAACAACAAATGCTTCTGAAAAGAATTTCCTACCCCAGCTTTAAAGAACTGCTTTTATTTATTCTACTGGCATATCTAACCATTGTGTGTACATGTGAATTGTCTCCTTAGTTGCAGATATTTTGCTTACGATGCAAGAGTCCAGCTGAGTCCCGTCGGCTGTGATATTTTACATCTGACATTATTCAAATGTATTCAGTCATAACATAATACATATTTGCTGTACATTTCAGAGGGCCGTACAGTAATACAGAGACAACACCCACACATACACAAAAAAAAACAAACAGTAATACTGATAGTTCAGATAGAGCTTCGAGTAATTATAATTTCATAATAATGAACTACACAAACACAATCTTTTACAAGAGATTATGGCCAAAGGTGCATAACTAAACAACAAGGTCGAGATGAAATGAACTGTATTGATAGGATGCAGGGAAACTGAGGCATCACAGCAGCAGAAGTACATGCTGGTCATAAATGAACACCTGTTTTCTAAAACAGGAAACAAAGTTGCATTAGTGAGCATCAAAAACAGAGACAAAAGGAACACACTTAGCTAGTCTTGTGAGCCAATGAAAGCTCTTTAAAACTGCAGGAAACCTAGAACTGTTGTAAGGAGACAAAGGATCTCACGTCAGATCACACATCAAAGGTCAAGAACACCAATAAGGAACAACGAAGCACATAGTAAAACCATAAAGAAAAACTGTTTTTCTAAAAGGAACTAAAAAGACACTTCAGTAACACTCCCTTGTCCTGACCCTTGTTTACCAACTGTACTTTTGTTCCCAAAGGAGTTAAATTTATGATACATTTGAGCATGCAAAACAATAGTGTTTGAGTCCTGAAAGAGAGCCACCACAACACATACGCACACAATTCCTGACTTACAGATGGGTCTTAAAGATGGTGTGAAGTTTGAGGGGATTTGTACCAATGAAAGTTGTTTTCCTAAGTAAGTAGATTACGATGTGCAGACAGCATGACAATATTTAATTTAAAATGGTATTTTATACACATTTCACCTTTAAAAAATATTTCTCCTCCAGCAATTTGTAAATTGCAGTATGCCACATTGCGATTTTGATTAAAATACGATTAATTGTTTAGCCCTACTTTAAACATCCAATAGCAGCTTCACACCTTTACGCTCACCCTTGTCTACCACATAATGTTACTTTTGTTCCCAAGAAAATTAGAGTAATAGTGAGCAAGCAAAAGATCAAGCACGGTCAGCCCAATGGTAAACAAAAAAGGGGTGCTTAGTGTGTCCAAATTATGTCTATATAGATGTTTATGATTCAAAAAGACAGTAAGTAAGTGCTTACCGCTCTTAGAGTGTATCCCTGGTCAAGGAAACAGTTCATCCACTGTGAAGAAGTTCTTTAATCCTCAGATTTCTCCTCTGCGTTTTTCATCTGACTGACTGACAGACTGATATTTGGCTTGTCCAGTGGTTCAGCCCATCGACACGGACTGTTAAACACACCAGAATGAGGAACTCAGAGAAACTAGTGGGGGGATTTTTTCTTTCTTACTGAAACTTCCTGGTACAATTGTCTAATGATTATTTGCATAATCAGCAACACACACACCCGCACAGACACACACTGGGGCACCGCAGACAGATGGTCTTTTATGTCTTTATGTGGGAACACTACATTTGCTAATGTTGAAGTAGAGAAGACTTTGAAAATGTCATAAAAACATATGAAGAAACAGAACTCATTTGAGGAACTGCAACCCTTTTAATGGCCTTTCACATTTCACTTATTTATTTTCATCAAATACTTGATTTCAAAATTGTCTATGGCATGACGTGTGTTAAACGTAATCTATATAATGTAGTATTTACCACAATTTTAATGTCATGAATGTTTTAGTGTCAAGTTTTATAAATTCTCCCACAGTGCTACCTGTTGGCCAAATGACAGCAGTACAACATGACAAGAAACGTTTTCATCATCGTCATCAGTAATTTATTTTGTTTGGACGGCACACAGAGTAGAAAATATGGTTACCGGCAGTCAGACAAACACCTACACATTTAGCAGAATCATGCACCTTTCACATTTCTACATGCAGAATTATGAACAGCCGGGTTTACACAGTGTTGGTGAAGCGGGTGTGAGTCACTATACAGTCACATGGCAGTTTACAACTAGAAAATCTGATTGAATGAGTATAAGAAAGAAGTATATTTGCCCTATTTTCATCAGCAGGAATAAGAATCAGAGACAGTCAAGTTGCAGTATTACAGTAAGATTATACTGGGGGGAAAGTAACAAAATACACAGTTTTAAAAGTGCATGCATGTTCGTCTTTGTGGATGATGATCATGGGATGTATCCATTATTACACAATGAAGCAGGAATGTATTTCAGCCTCAATGACAGAGATATAAACTCTCACACAAACATGTTACACTGGAAGCTCCACTGAGTATTGCATATCTACATTTAAGGAATAGTTTTGGGAAATATACTTATTCACATTACTGCTGGGAGTTAGATGGGAAGATCAATACCACTTTCTCATCTGTACTGGAGCCAGCAACAGGTTAGCTTAGCTTAGCTAACTATGTTATCTGCCTTATCTAAGGTTGGTCATACATCAACACCTGTCTTCTGAAACAAGAAAAACAAAATTGTTCCTCCTTCGCCAGTTTTGTTTTTACACTACACAGTTTTTGTACGAACTAAACAAACAAAATATAACATGTTAATTAGTTTCTAGCTGTTTCCCCATTTCCACTTCTCCTAAGCTAAAGCTAACCTTCTGCTGACTCCAGCTATATATTTAGCATACAGACATGAAAGTGATATCAATCCTCTAATCTCATTCTAGGCAAAAGGCGAATAAGCGTATTTCCCAAAACTACTCATTTAAGGTGTGATTATAATGGCATCATTAGAAAAGTAAATTAAAAAAGTATAAACATTTAAAAGATAGTACACCCTCATCATTTCTATTTCTAAACACAGAGCCGTCGAAATGTATCATCCATACTCAAAATGTAAATGTGTTGTTGGTCAACAGAACACTGTCACACCACCACCCCAGTGCTCTGCCACAGTACAGGCCAGATTCACATACAGTATGCCTGGATTTTGACCATCAAACACAACAGAATCAGTGAACGCACCTTTCAACAGATAAAGTTGTTTGTTCATGGTGTTTTCCAGTTCTACTACAGCTGAATAGTCCAATTCCCTCTACAGTATTGTCAATTTAAAGGAAGCACAAGCCATTAATTGGCAATATAATCTCTATCAGCATCACTACAAACATGCTACTCCTACCGTGACCCATTACATCAGCACGTCTCGGTGGTCTTACAGACTGCTTGCACAACTACCAAACTCACATAGGATCTCTGTCTATTTTCTCTTTTTTATTCCAATCACCCAGCCTGAGTGTTTAGTAACTAAGACTGAAAGTAAAATCAGCTGTACAAGAGCTACGAATGTGTCTTTCTGCTTCCTCCAACTCTGAAATACTCCCCCGCCAATAGTCTGTCATTATATTGCACAGCAGAGCCACAGGGACATGAGAGCACTGGGTGATCACATCGCAGCACAGCGCCTCTACAGTGGATTTTAAGGGGTCAGCGCCCTGCTTATCGGCACCTCAGAAGTGGTGGTGCTACCCTCCGGCTACCAGCCCACTTTGGAAAAACGGCTTCATCACAATGGCAGCTGGAATCCACCTCGCAACTCTCTGTCCACGGGTCGGAGGAGTATGTGACAAGTTAGCTGTTCCTCTGCCCAGCCTCTCTGTGGGCCGAGGAAGAAGAGGAGCTCTGGCTGTCCTCAGCGTCGTCTCCATCTGCAGGACATACATATTCATATGATTATATTAGTGTTTTTGCTTGTTTTGATGTTTGCAATTCAGGTCCAGCTTTTTTATCGACACTACTGCCGTGGCTCTAGAGATGGATATATTGGTCTGTTGATTGCCCTATAGATCCACCATGCACTTTGATCAGTTGAAAATTTTAATTTGCCAGATACTTGGTTTGCGACCAAATTCCTGGTAAACTAGTTCCCATCAGTCTCAGCTGTACTTTGTCTTTAGTGTTAATTAGAAAATGTTTGCATTCTAATATGCTAAATTAAGATGGTGAACCTGCATATTACCTGCTAAACATCAGTATGTCATGCCACTGTGAGCATGTTTCTTGATGTTAGCCTTTTAGCTCACAGAGCTGCTAGAATGGTTGTAGACTCTTAGTCTTATAATATTGATAGATGTCTTTTTCCTGCCCTCAATTCACAACATTGTTGTGTAAGATTCAACTCACGAAGGCTAACCGTCTCCCCAAATTATCCATTTGTTATCTCAGCCAGCTTTGTAATTGCCCCTAAAACAAGCAAATTGCACAACAAACACCAGATACGAAGCATTTACCAGCCTTCTAGTCCTGATGTTTTGACTGAATTATGTAAGTGCAAGACTTGTCAGCGAGGAGATCTGGCATACAGAGCTGAAGGGCAATGCTGATGGAAGGTAGTATGTAAAACACTCCAGTTTAATGCAGTAGTTTACCTCCCCCTCCTGCGTTGATGTGCAGCTGGGACAGAGACAGGGTGAGGGACAGTTCCCGTCCCTCGGGGTCGGTGGGACTCTGCAGGATGTCATGCATGGCGTTCCTGCGTCCCGTCCTGCCAGAGGCGATGAAGTCTGCGTATGTGGCCTCAACATCAGACATCGCTCGTGCATCGTCCACACAGCAACTACTACAAGAAGAGCAGCTGTGAATTTATCTAAACACACACCTCTAGAGGTTCACCTCCATCCATCACAGTGTGCAAATTCATTAAAGAAGGGCAAAGTTGCTTGACAGACCCTTTCAACACTTAACTAACTTTTATATTATACATGTGATATGCATATTTCTTATGATGTACAATATTACTTTGCAGATATTTTGATTATTTTTAACCCGCTATTAGGCTAAAGGGACTGAATTAGTCATGTATCAAGTCTAAACAGCTGTGCTTTTCATGAATTTCACAGCTTTAAAAGTCTGAAGTATCTCGTGCTAAACCAGGCAGCCCGTTCATAGTTAGGCCCACAGGTCAAGTATCTGGTAGCCTGTAAGCCCGGGACCACAAGTCAAATTAGATTCCCATAATAACTCAAGACGCCGTCTTATTGTGTCTAAGTCCAGTTTTATGCATTATCTTACCTTCAGTGATAGCTCTACCAGTGTTGTAACCCCCAGCTACATGTCTAGGGAGTGACTTAACCTACAAAGCAGCAATGCAGGCCCGACATCACGTCAAACGATGCAACAAAACAAAAACAAAAAAAAACACCGAAACCGACGAGCGTCCAGTAGGTGAAGATGCAGAGGCCTCACACTATAAACCGCGGCTACTCAGTGCATGGAATAATTTAACAATATTAATCACATCAGAAGGATGGCCTGAGAAGTCCCCCGTCTATTTTCCATGGCCGTCGCATCTTCCTCCTTCGCGACCAATGAGCGGCCAGCAAACCGCATCTGAGCGCTGATTGGACCGGAGACACAAAAGGATGCGAGGAGAGAGCTTTGGGAAGCACCAAGGCTTGTGCTGCATTCGCGATCAGCTCGTAAATCTCAGCAAACTGACTAAAATGTCTATCAACCTATCTAGGTGATAGGTATGATGTTTTGGCTATTTGGCTGTTGTTGTATTGATTAAACAGGCAAAAAGCAAAAGAGTGATCGATAAAAAGCAATTCTGTACTGTAGTTTCACTCGAAAATTTAGAGTGCTTTTGCAGAATAATGCAGATTAGCCAAAGAAAAAAGGGAGGGGTTGGGGTGGGGACTAAAAATTTAAGTATAACATGAATATCATGAATATAAATGGTAAAATGACATACTGAAAAGATAACTTTGAATATTCTAATAACACTTCTACAAGTAATATGCTCTTAACTTAGAGTAATTACAAGAATATCAGTGTTTACAGCTTTATGACTTTATAGGCATATTTTTATTCTTATCACAGCTATTGAAACTACGGTATCATGTGATGCAGCTCACGTTGAGAATGCACTTAGTTTATCTTTATATGCACTCTTTCTTGAGTACATTAATTCATCATTAGAGGAAATGAGAGGAAACAAGAAAACGCCAGGAAACAATTTGGTGCAATACCTGTTCACACCACGGGGTGGCGCTGCTGTCAGCATGAATATATCAAGCTGCCAGTGCCAAATAGTCACCACCACAAATTCGAGCTCAGATTTGTGAAATAACTCCAAATTTACTGGAGTCAGTAAACAAATGTCTTGTGGCTGTATGATTATGAAAGTACATTTCATGTATATTTAATATAAAACTTCAATGTAAGAGTTGTTTACAAGCCACATCCAAATACAACCATAGATTCTAACAAAATGAACAGATATCATAATTCAGAATCACCATGTATTTCTCTTTCCACAAAGGATGTGCACCAACTAATATATGTTTAATCTGACATGAATTCCGAAACTCTGATTCATCCCTTGTAACCAAAATGTAACTATTGACAGACAAAAATATTACTGGATCAGATTAATATTTAAAGGGAGAGTAAGTGATTAAGGATTGTTAATATTTAAACAAACACACCCCTCCCTAACTGGAATTTGCATAGTTATTCTTGCTACCTTGAACGCTGAGCCCTAAAGGTTGCCTACAAAAAGAAAGCAATAAGGTACCCAGGTGACACACTGGGATGAGAACGGTTTCCTCCTGTGCACGAGCACTGACGCCACATGTTGCTGATTGGCTGGAACAATGTTGTGTGGCTAGGTCCACGCATTTTCTTTATTTTCCATAAACAGCAACCCGTTCTCACTCCAAACTCGTTACATATGGTCAAGACCCGTTGGTGTCAGTTTGCTAAGGATCCCCTTAGCGTCATAGTTCAAGGCAGTGGGGGAAGGCCTGTAGTGTCAGCTTCAGGCAGTAAAGGTAGGTATAAGATATTTAACACAAAAGAAGGTGGTTGGGGTGGATGGAGGGCCAGAAACCGGACTTTCAATGAGGAGACTGGTGTTTGTGTCCCTTGTGAAACAAAGAGTCAACATTAAATATTTTTACTTAAGTTACGTAGGTTATGTAAATTGCGTAACTCATGCAAGTTAACTTACACTGACGTATGTAGTTATTTTAACCCAAACCATGATCTTTTCCCAACCTTAACCAAGTAGTTTTGTGCCTAAACTTAACCAAACTGAAACGTTTCACAACTTTAACAATGCGTTGTTTCAAAATGGCGATGTTTTGCAAGGTTAAATTTTTTTTTGCAAGTCTAACCGGATCTTGCATATTTATTGTTGCCAACACCAATAAACGTTTAAAGGGCTACTCAGATCGTTAAAAGCCAAGCCTCCATATGTGACGAGTCAGGAGTGAGAATGTGTTCATTCAACAGAATCTAAAAGTACTGCATTCATCACTAGGCTGTGTGAGGATGTGTGTCAGCGGACTAAGGGGCCATTTCTGATATGTTATTGATATTGAAATCCCTTTACCTCAGGAGATGCTGTACTGCACCAAGTGACAAATTACAAGACTTTGTCATTGCCCTTTGGGCGAACAACATCCAACACGGTTCTCCACTATCTTCATCAATTTCCAAACAGATGAAAGACAAAAGGTGGAGGTTTTCAGTTTCCTTCACATGAACTAAAAATAACAAAGCACACAAAAAAACAGTTGCAATATAAAAAAAAAATGTTGACCTTTAAACACCCATGACTCCAGCTCAAACAGTGAATAGTATGAACATCTTAGACTGTGTTGCTGTGGAGACATCTTCTCCTCTTTGTACTTGTGGTGCTTCATTTCAGCAGGACACATTTGGGATGTTTTAAAAAGGAATCTGATTAGTGGCAAAGAGTTGAAATCAGCTCCCTTCTACGAGGTTCAGAAGCTGTGCAGTGCCACTTTACCTTCAGATATGTGCTGGTAACAGGATCCACAGAGGCACAGCTCACTTTTTCACTGGCTGTCTGTACTGCTGCGCTTTACCTCTCGTTAATCTTTCTGTAACTGATGTTTTCACAATAGGCTCCACACAATCAGCAGACAGGCCAATGTCAGATTACTGGTCCATAAAACTTGCAGAATTCAGAAATTATTAGTCATAATTAAAATAATCCAAGGAATTATATTTTCGGGATGTTAAATCAATCAAGTGATTAATCAAAACTTTATTACAGACTAAGGGTCCAAATCTCACCCACAATAACAATACACAAATACATGCCCATATACACACATTCATACATACATTTAGAAAACACCATAACTGGCCACCTCTGTTAATATACAGCACTAAGTTGAACTCACATAACCTCAATACATATTTGTTCATAGCCTACTCAGTTTCCATCAGTGGTGGAAAGTAAGTACACTTAGTTAAGTACTTTACTTTCCATGTTATATATTTTATTCCACTTTATACTTCTACCCCACCGCATTTCAGTGGGAAATATTGCACTTTTTACACCACTACATTCATTTGACTGCCATAGTTGCTAATTACTTTTCAGATTTTACATGAAAAAACATAAAATTTGTTTATTAGACACAATGCATTGAATCTAGTTAGAGCACCATCATGTTTATGAGTTGTTAGTAGTCTCACCAGAGTGATGTCACCGGAAGCAGGGCCCATGCTGCTTCCCCTATATATATTAGTGACTTAGTTTTTTGCAGATATAGTGTCTCTTCAAGTGAGATGTGTCCGTCAGTTAAAGCTCAACAGCTGCTAAAGTTACCTTATGTCACAGGCACGCAGGATAACCACATGCTTGATAGCAAGCCTGTTACTGATAGCACAAGCAGTGCAGATGGGGCAGAGTTTATCCCTGTTCATCTGTGTGAAAAAGGTTGCAAGAGCAAGCGACCAGTTGTGTGGTCCTGCTTTTGACCCTTGCCAGCTATGTTGGTAGTCCTGTTGGCCTGCGGGCCTCCTGTACCCCCGGATCTGAATACTTCTGCCACCACACCGAGGGTTACATGCTCATCTGTGGACTGAGAAAACTCTGACCAGTTTGGGCTGATGATGCCCAAACAATGGATGAAATGTCAGCACTCAAGAAAACAAGAGACACCCGATGTTTATATGACAGCAGAAATAGGCAGCTGTGTGGATGCACTGGTTTAAGGGTGATCTCTAGTTAGTGTTCACATTTATGCACTTCTTATTATGGATGCATGGTTTTTGGCAGTTTGGGGTGGATCAATAAAACCTGCAGTGTCTTCCTACAGTATCTTCAATAAACATTTGAGTTTTCACTCTGCAGCTGACAAGGACTCTCTCTGCCCAGAGCTTCGTCCTGTCTCTTTGATTTTTCGACAAAGGTTAACCTTCTGAGGGAGGAATTTCTTTACAAGCTACTTCTACAGAAAAGAACATGATTCAGACCTCAGCAAAGGCAGTGTCATGTTTTATTCACTGCAAAAGATGTGGTTAGATGTAACCTGAGCAGACCTGAGTCTACACAAGAATTTATCCGAGGAGCAGCTGCTCTGGAGATAAGAAATAATCTGAGCATTAATCTGACTGGCTTTGTCTATTAAGTTTTAATCAAGACCAAGAGCAGTACTTTTTATAGCACATTTTAGTTTAATGGGAATATAGAGGATCCAGTTAGAATGGATTAAATAGGACTCAAGATAACAGGACCAAATGAAAGATAACTGGCCACTTCTTAGTAAACATAAATATGATGTTATATTGATAGGAGGAGAGCTATTGCAGAGGATAACTGAATATGTATAACTTTCACATGTTTCCACTCACATGCCATTTGTAGTAAACAAACATTTACTGTAACTGTACATTGTACAGGTGTAACAGCGTCACACAGCGGTGTTAATAAATAAATAAATAAATAAATAAAAAATAAAATCTGTAATCAAAATGTAAACAAAATGGTCTCCCAACTGAAACCTTCTGCTGACAGGTTTTAAATGTACACACAAACACTACATCTTATTTTATCACATCAGAAATACAATAAGAAGATAAACTTTTTCCACATAGGTGAAAATGCACGCACAGTGATTTGTAATTATAATGCTATTAAATCTGCTGAAGCACATCTGGAGATGGTCTGGCTAAAATTGTGGCATAAAAGTCGGTGCTGAAGAAACCAATATTAAAGATTCTACATGCTAGCGGTTCTATAAGGCTGTATTCAGTGCTAATGTCAGCCAGCTAACAGGTTTAAGGCATGTTCACCATCTTAGTTTAGTGAGTTGGAATGCTAACATTTGCAAATTTGCATAAAACAGAAAGTACAGCTGAGGCTGATGGGAATGATGAATCAGTTTTGCAGGTGTTTAGTCATTAACCAAAGAATTGGACAAATGCTGGCTGAAAAGACAGATGATCCGAATTAGAGATCATCCTGAGGGAGATATGAATGTGTGTACCAAATCTTATGGCAATACATGTAACATTTGCTGAGACATTTCTCTCACAACACACATGTGACACTAGAGGAAAAGTCAGGGATTAGCAAAGTCAAAAGGATTCATCCCGTGGAAACCATGAATTTCTGTATAAAAGTCATTTTCAATCTGTCTAATAGTTATTGAGATACTTCAGTCTGGACCAAAGTCGGCGACTGACCAGCCGATATTGCTAAAAAAGGAAGTAGGGCCCATACAACACAGTTTCCTCCTTTGATGCGACAAGCACCAAACAGTTTTCTGTCCAGAAAGTCCACACACTGTCCAGCAGCTCTGCTTGATTTGCAGATTGAGATCCAATCACAATGTGTCGGAAAATGAGATAAGAACAATGCTTATTAATTTCAGGTAAATGCAAAGGCCTAATATTAATACCAGATATGAAGTCTAAAATCCAAACTTTGTTTAAAATGTTTAAAATTGTGGGTTTTTAAAGGAAACTTTCAAACAGTTTTACTACCTTTGTTCTCACGTCCAAAGTAACACTCTACTATGGCTGTAAATAGATCAAATGTATGATGGATAGACAAATAAAAGGAGTAAAGTGTATTTGTTTTAAATGAAACACTCATCCTCACTGTTTGTTTCATAGACACACACAGACCTAGGCTGTAGGTCTCCCTCTCTCTCTTTCTTCCTGTCTCTCTCCCGCATGATTTCACCGTGAGCCAGTGTGGCGGGTGCTGTGTTTGTTTTTGTTGCCAGTTTCAAAAGCCAGACACAGCACTGTGCAGATAACAACTCACCACTGCTGGATAATCACAACACTGTCTCATCACCAGTCTACTTTCCAATACCCACGGCTTGACACACTCTTTTGTGTTAACATAGGTTTAAATGAGCATGTGTTCTTCCCTGCAGCCTTCACACACACTCCACACACACACACAGACACCAGCTTCTTAGTACAACACACCAACACACATTTCCTACTGATGGACACTGAGCAGCTTCACTGGAGCAGACAAGTGCCTTGCTTAAGGGGGCTTCAATTTTTAGATTAGGTCAGATGAAACTTTAATGATCCCCATGGAGATGTCAGGTCATTAGGGCTGCAGAGGATGGGCTCCAGATAAGAATAGCTCAAATGGAGTATACTGCAAGAAACAGTGCGAGGAAAGCATACTGGGGATAATACAGCAAGTAAATAATAAAAATAATGAACAAATTTACAAGCTAACACACATTTCATATTCACAGTACACATTAAGAGTCTTCTAAAACATGCATTGTTACGCCATAAATGCGTAAATTCTTTTAAATACAGTCATATTTGAAGGTTTAGTATCAACAAACTGCTGGTTTTCCCACTGTGAAAGGATGACATTTTTGCTGCAATGTGTGCAGATAATCTGAACATCCAAAGTCATTTCTTGTGCAATGAAGCAAACAGTGCATGCGAGAACAATGTGTGCAAGATTTAGTTTGCCATTGATGCCACTGACTGTGGCATTTGGAAATAGCTTACAGTTGACTGAACAAAGAAATGTTAGACAAAGAGGAAGTGAAAGAAAGAGACAGAGACAGAGCGAGAGGGAGACAAATATAGATAGAGCCAGAGATAGAAAATAGTCAAAGGATATACAGAGCTCAGTTCAACTGGGTTACAAACTTTTTCCAGCCTCCATTTGTGTTATAACTCCCTCTAGTAAAGGCTTTGTCCTGATTTGGCATGTGTCTCTGCATATATTGCATATTAAATAGTCAGTTTAACAACAGGGAAGAGGTTATGGTATGGCTTATTTAGAAAAAGCAGACAGACACAGTTGCAAAAATCCAGGGGGGGTGGGGGTTGTAATGTGGGTGAGCCAATGACAATGACATAACAGCCCTATTTGAATGATCAAAGAGCACAGGGTGAAGCGCATGGCGCAGATGCATTTTGGATGTGTCCGAATCCACTTTTGCTTGTTTAATACTTAGTCTCTTAATTAATCATGGGTGTGTTTTGGGCGTAACATGCAATAAACCAATCAGAGTGTCATCTCCCATTCACCTTTAAAAGCCAGGTGCGCATGTTCTTTTGCACAATGCTATTTAAATATGAAATGTATTGAGTTTCACTGCAGACTGGTGTCTCTGTTAATGGTGACAGACACACACATAGATCCGTGTTATATATGCTCATCTACTCTATGAAACGTCTGTATCCTCACTATGCTGCATTTTTATAAACTATGATGAACTAGTCATGAGTCACATCTCTGTCTTCCAGGTGATTTCATTTTTGTGTGTTGTATTGATGTATGTCAATGATGAGTGTTATTAATCAGAATGTTAATTTTTATGACTACACCCACCCAATCCGTGGATAGAACTATCTAAAGGATGTGCCCTTTAAATAGCTGGGAAATACTGCAATATTGACTTTAGACCAAGTTTTTGTTGGTCAATTGCTTTCCACTGCCTCAAGCAATGTGGCAACAATGCGCCTGACCAAGCCTCATTTAAGAGCAACACTCCCATGGGCGCACAGATGAGTGTGAGTACATTAGCTACTTACACAACGTAGGAACTGGACGTGAAAATGATAACTGTGCACTGTGTGCTGTGAGCCGCTTGGATAAGCTAGGGCCCTAAGAGCCAGACAGAAGCCTGGCATAAAACAAAGAGAGAACCACAGTCTGTGAACAACAAACCATGTTAGCTTCCAAGCTAATGTCTTACAAACAGGGACGCATGTCTTGTCCGTGCACCTTGAGTTGCTGAATGAACTACCAAACAAACATCCGCCAGGAAAAAGATAACTGCTAACCTGAGTTTGCAGATAACTAGCTAGGTAGCACACCGAACAAATCAAAAACGAACTTTCAAAAGTCAAGATTGCTCAGTTTATTGATGCTAAATGGGCTGGTCCTTCATCAACACCACTGCACCATCTTTGCACTGAGAAAAGCTACAGTTACAAGTGGAGATTTGTTAACATTGTTGTCTATGTAGCCTTGTTACACCAATTTGATAGCTGTGATAATTAGATAGATATGGCAGGTAATTTCTAAATCTGCAACCCATCAGTTCTGTGACCCTGGAGGATAACTACATAAAAAAGATCAAAGTTTATGTATTAAGTATTAATACTTAAGTATTAAGTATTGTCAAGTGAGGTGTTGCTGTGCCCTAGAGACAAGTTTGTACACTAACAGCTATAACAGTGTCTCTATCTAAATATTATGGCGGCACTGTTTTTGGTAACAGATGAAAACATTTACTCTGGCAAAATTTCTGAAATTCATATTTGTAACAAATCAAACATGTAGGCTACACTGACCTGCCCACTGAAGGCAGCTAAATGAACATTGTTAATTCCCATCAATTATACCAAAAATCTATTAAAAATCACTTGTGCACGATTTATCTCTGCACAAAGAAATGCCTTATTGTGATTTTAGTTGGACTTTAATTTGTATTTGTGATATTTTAAGCCGAATGACGACTTACCTGCAGCAACACAGGCCAATATCAGTGATTTCTTTTCCTGCTGCTGCCGCTGCTCCGTGGCATTAAAAACCCCCCATACAGTAGGTCCTCTCATCACCGGTAGGTGTCGCTGCTGACACTGGTACCCAAGCTGTTTTTGAGTCTGTCTGGATGGGATGGGGGATGTATTGTGAACTAGAGGAGAGAGAGAGAGAGAGAGAGAGAGAGAGAGAGAGAGAGAGCACCTCTGCTGCTCTTCCTGCCTCCTCTCCTGTGCGCAGCGCTCCGGCCCGGCCGCTCCTTCCTTCCTCATTTCCTTCCCACAGCTGGCTCTCTCCTCTGGATGCTGGCTTTGTCCTTTCACACATCGTGCTGGACCAAATACTTAAGAGGGTGGAATGACTGACTATCTGTTTTGCATGGTCTGAATTTCGGGAAATTCGCACGTCGGAAAGGAGGGGAGTCAAGAGGGAAAAAGGAGGCTCTCCATCCCCCGAGGGAATTTATTTTACAGTAAGCAGGCGCAATGTCATTCCAGTTTCCTCATTCCTGCTTGTCTCACACCTCCCATATGTGCAAATGCTTGAAAAAATGCTAGAATGTGACAGCCTGCTGGGAATATGGCTGGCTGTTGTATTTTGTTCAGAGTGTGTGCCAGATGTTTTAGCTATTTTAGTTTATTCCGAGGCGTGGTATGGATTGTGTTTTTATTATGATGCGCTAAAGGGCTGTGGTGCGCTTGTCGTGGACTGAAAATGGAAACCCCCGTTTCAGCTTGACTCGCCATCCATGCATCTGAGGCCATGGTGTGTGGGGGTCGGAGGAGAAAGGGGGGGGGGTTTAGCTCACGCGAAAACGGTATCACTTTAAGATTGACCGAAATTTGAGGGATATTCGTGCGATTATCAGGGGTGACAGCGCTCATCGTGGCCGGCTGCGCGGTCTTTGTGTTGCCTTTGCAGGGCGATGCTGGGACGAACAGAATATTTGTTTCCCTAAGGCCATCACCAGACATGTGAACTGGATGAAGAGCACCTTGCTGCCTGTGTGCTCCAGCTCTGGCTTGCCTGCCTGCTTGAATGGCTCCATGTTGATCACTAAAAGCACCACAGTGTGTCTCTGATCCACTCCAGGCTGTTTCTCCTCCCTGCTGTAGAGTAATTAATTTCATTCACTTTGCCAAGATTACTGTGTTTCAACAGAGAGCATCATAATGTTTGCTCATGTTAATTGTGTGTGGATTCTGCTCTGTGACCTGGCAGAAATTAGGGCTGCTCCTGTCTACTGAATTAGTCCTCATATAGCCTTACAGCATCTCCAGTCATTGTGTCTTGCATGCCAGTTTATGATGCCTCATTCAAAGTTAATCTCTGTGTTTTCTCTCATGAGTTGTCGTGCTGTAGATCACAGATCACTCCCAAGATGGAGGAGCTACCCAACCCTAAAAAGAAGTGATGTATGTTGCTGATTAGTCCAGCAGACCAGATTGTGTCTGGCAGTGAAATGTCTTATTAATTTGGTTAAACAGGCTCCTTTTTTTGATTGACCATTGTACATGTGCATGCACAGTATGTTGTAGCAGATGTTTTTCATTAGGTTGGAGAGAAAAATAATGACAAAGATCAGTGGATTTGGCAGCGTAAAAATTAGTTGACCATGCTTAGTAGTGATGGTGATGTTTTCATATTTATTAAGGTGGATAGTTTCTCTGCTTTTAACCTCAGTATCCTATGGATCCTATTGAACACTAGAACCAGTCAAATCCAAACAAATCAGTTTACAGATGGTAGAAACAGGGTGTGAACTACTGGGGAGCCAGGAGGAGCTTGGCTCTTCTTAATAAGGCATGAGCTCCCCTAAAAACACAATTTGTGAAATTTTGAGGCAACTCTAAAATACTGAAAATATGCAATTTTTTCCATGAATTTCTATTTTTCTGTATCTTCTTCATCGTGAATCATGAGTAAAATTAGGCTATTATTTTTTATATGAATGGTGCATGAAGGTGATTCATCATTAATCGACTTAAATTGCAGCATTCATGTTATTCTTGAAGCATCGCTGTGCAATATCACTTCACTCCCAAAGATCAGGAAAAAAATAACTTTCTTAGGCCTACTCAGCCTGAACGCTGAATTGCCAGAACTCATTAATGATAAAGCACTAGATAGAGCCCTGGAAAAGCTTTGCAGCTTCCCACGTCATCTGAATGTGAGAGGGGGTTTTCTGCCATTAATGATACTGACAGCAATAGGGGTGACTGGAAACAGCTCTCATCGCTCATTTTTGCAGATCTTAATGGACGTTGTGAGGGTTAGGTTGATCTCCTGCGGTGTCCCTTCATGTTGGGAACAACTGACTTACCAGTATAATCTGAAATAGATACCATAATCAGTATTTTAACACAAACTCTTGCCAGTTTGGCACAAATATGATAGTTTCAACTCCTTGTCTCCATTATTCATTTGGTCTGCTAGAGTGCACACAAACAGCTTGAGTTTACTGACTGCTACGAGCCAGATATGCAGCACTGCAAAGCTCTACACACTTAACACACACAGGTGAAACTGCCAGCACACACAACTCTCGTCACACAACATTTAACTGATCAAAGAGCTTCTTTTCCCAAATGTTGTTGCATGCGTTCCCGTTACATGCTGAGTGGGATTACAGGAAGGCAGAAGTCTTTAAAATACATTTAGCTGCTACTCTGGGGTATAACAGAGTACTCCGCATCTTCCATCTCCCACCCCCAACCCCTCTCTCGATTTCTCTGCCTAATTGCTAAAGATTCATGGTAGATGGTGGAGTGACCCTACAGCTATGTCCCTGGTGAAAAGTCTGAAAAGTGATGCACTTTGCCACGGTTAAGTGTAAAGAGCGTGTCATCCTTTTCCAAAAACTCGTCTCGGTTGCTGCAGACTCAACAGGCTTTATTAAGTTTTAATGTTAAGAAGGTGATACATGTAATGTGGAGAAGCTCTTAATAACGTTTCACTGAGACAGATCCCAGACGTGAATTACTGCCCCTGCACCTACAGTCAAAATATTTTGAATCTATTGCTCTCTCGGTCTAGACTAGTATAATTCATTTAGACAACACATTTAATTCAGCTTACAACATGAGCAGTCAGATGATTGTACAGGTTTATTTGGAGATAAAAGTGAAAGTGAGTGCACCAAGAGTGTTGGTTTTAATCCGTAATCGCAGACAGAAACTGTATTTGTGTTTCTTGCCAACTCGGATTCTTTTTAGCAATGTCACCAGGTTCCCAGATTGCAGCAAAAAACATGAGGTGTCCAGTGTAATTATTACCAATAGAAATGATTCATGACCAAATTTATGAAAAACAGATACAAGTTGTAACACACTGGAATCATAACTAGGTTGCATGCCAGTTAGCGATATTTGTCATCGATAAAAAGGTTCAATGTTAAAAATCAAGCAGAAAATACAGTGAAAAAAAAAAAGAACGGCCTCCACTCATTAAGATTAACCATCAGGGCTACTATAGATCCTCTATATAGTGTGTATAGGGGTTGACACATACTTAATTAGTATGAAACATCATATGACCCACTTTTGCAGCAGTATTAGCATGCTTAAGTAACTTCAAAGTTAAAGTTGTTTTTCATGAATGGTTCTGTTATTTCATCTACCCCCTGATGACTTTATATAAGATCATATAAAAGAAGCAGCTGTAACTGGGAACTTATTGATGGTGAACGTGGTATTAGTACCACTGCCAATAATTATGATTATGTAAATACTTAGCACATTTTTACATTTATTAATATTTCATATCGTCATTATACCACTAGTGATAGTAAAATAAATAATAATAGTAATATACCAGCGTACACAATTTGTATTCATGTGTTTATTTTATTTTTTCAAAACAACCACAGTCCTTGAGATGAATTGACAGCCACAAAATGAGATACACTTTGTGCCAAAACCATTCACTACTTCAGCCATATATTGTCCTAACCCGATAATCTCTGCCGATAACCTTGTTCAGAAAGAGTGACACATGGCGAGAGAGAGCGAGATGGCAGCATCTGATTCATATCACAGCCTCCACCCAGTCAGTAGATGGGGAAGATAGGTTGCCTGGTCAACAACCTCTTTGTTCCTTGAACCACTCAGAGCAGAAACACAGAGGGAATGTCTCTGCATAAGCCAACTCGGAGCTTTAATCTGAGCTTTAATCGGTGCTTCAACAGACTGGAGCACATGATTCAGACAAACAGCAGAACATTTATAGTACCACTACATGTATACAGTACTAGTATCACTGACATATTAGGGTTAAGGTGAGTGTTAACTGCAGGTCTTCAATGCAAACTCTGGTCTCCTGTACCAAACACCTGTCCCCGAACCCGACCACCACACCCTTACTTTGTACTTCACTACATAAAGAGTGCAATTAAGAGAAACCAGTTTACTTAACTAACCAGGTGGAAAACTAAATCCTGAGTGCATGTTAGTAAAATCACTGATGGAGGTCTAATACCTTGAACGCACCTTGCATGGCTCTATGACGTCGCGTTTTTTTCCTGGCCTCAGCTTAGGTTCATATCATACATGTTTTTATCTGTTTTAATTGTGTTTATTGTTTATATACAAACAGGAGTCTGTCCAGGGTGTTTTATTTTGAAAATCCTGTCTGGCTGGATGGATGCTTCCATCAAAAGTAGACTAGGCGCATATTTTAAGTGAAGAGCCACTTCTGGGACGTTTCTGAAATGCGCTGCGGCGTGTCTGGTGGAATCACAAGCATTGTCTAGAGTGGCCGGGATCAGCTCCAGCGGAATAAGACAACTTTATTAATCCCTCTAGGGGAAATTCATTGTTTTCACTGAATTACACACACAGGCACAAACAGGACCTTTTCGAATTAACTTATGGAGAGATGTTAGAGCGAGGGGGCTGCCACGTAGTCGGTGCCCACTTAGGGGTTCAGAGCCTTCCTCAAAGGCACTTTCAGCAATGCCCAGGCACCTCTCCAGCAACCAGTTTACAAGCAGTATGACTGGACTCGAACTGGCCACCCACCGGCTCCCAAGCTACTGCCGCCTTTATCAAGGCATAACACTGCCAGTGTTGACTCACGCTACACAGTATATTGATACCTGCAGCACTGACCAGGTGACAGAACGACCTGACAACCATTTCCTCTCTCTGCGCATTCCACTTGTGAGTCCGGCTGGTTCACTAATGGATGATGACAAATAACGGCTGCACTTTGCTTCCCTGTCTCAGGCACTGAGTGGTTTTCCCTCTTCTCCTCTGCCCTAAGAGAAGAGAGGAGCAGAGCAGGAGCTATGGAGAGGGTAATGGTTGTTTGTCAGCCACGTCATTTTGTCACTTGAGTTTTGTTCATTTCACTCGACAGTTGAGTGTGGACTTTTCAGCCGGAAAACTCTACTTGCAAAATCGCTTTGAACCTATATTTACAATGGCACCTATTTGGTTGAGCATTAAACAGACAGTTGCGACCATGGCTGTC